AATTTAGGGCTCAATGGCTTTATGTTGGGTTTGGGGTTGTCTTCTTCTTCTTCTTTTATTTTTTATTTTTAGTGCACTTATAAAAATATTAATTTTAATATTAATATTAATATTAATAACGTCCCATGTTTTGCTTCAAATTGCAAAATAGTGATCATTGAAAATTGTAATAGAATCTGATCTATAAAATATTTTTTCATAATTAATAATAATCATAAATCTTATGATTTCTGATGCACTAAAATCACCCTAATAAGTGTACTAGTCGCTCCAAGTAATATAATAATAAGAAGAGTGTCGAACCCACGAGAATTGTGTCTAACTAAGTACCAAAATAATTAATCCAAATTTATTTAAACAACGGAGTGGGAAGAAAGTTTAACTAAAAAAATAATAAAAGAAAAATAACAATTAAATTAAACTTAACCAATATAGGAGATACTAAGGCATTGACTTCACCATAATTAATCAATATAAATTCTGGATTACCAAATTGTTGAGTGTTATTGCATGTGATGGCGGATTTCCCTAAATCAATTAACTAACTTTCTCAAGTCAAGTTAATCCTTCACTTGTTTGTTAAATTAATCATATTTTTATGTAATTTTAAACAAATTTATGAGCATTAAATTTTATGGTAATCTCTAACTTAAGAAGGGGGAGCTCCTAACTCTCTTCTCTTCCTCCCTCCACTACCACATGTGAGCTAATTATCTCTTGGTCTCATAGTCTAGCACACGGTTTATATTATTATTGGTCTAATCTACACAATTTTTTCTCAAGTTCATGCATAAATCACTAAATCAATTGAAAAGTGATCGGACTTCCAATACATTAAGTTCAATAATATAAACTACTCATGCAAATAGCTTTAATTGAAAGCATAAAATCACTAAATCTATATTGAATTGATTAAGTTACATCGTAACCCTAATAAAATAAATCAGTTCATAATAAAAAGAATAAAATGTAAAATCAAAGTTATGAATATTCAAATAACAAACAATAAATAAAAACCCAAGGAAAAACAAAACTCAATTTGAGGAAATTGAACTCCTTGATCTTCTATTGTTGATAAAACCTCAATCTTGATCTCCAATAATACCCAAAAGAGGGCTGCCACTAGCCTCTTAAAACTCCTTTAACTTTGAATTTAGATGGGTATTTATAGGATTTTGAAAACCCTAATTGAAATAAAAATAGGACTTGAAACAGAAATAAAAAATTAAATTTTGGATGCTGATCACGTGGTGCCACTGATTACATGTTTACACAAAATAAGAAACAGAATCGGATTCTGGACGTTTACGCATGGTGTCGACACCCCGATCATGTGTCGACACTACACCCGTGTCGGGTTTCTGGTCTCGCTTTGCAATTTCTTCAATGGTAAAATAACATATTTGGTTCTTGACTTCTGGATTCTGCACAAGTTGATCCTCAAGTCTCTGATCTCTTCAATTTACTTTTAAAAAGTAAGATTTCTTCCAATTACATCATTTCCTACACAAAAAATAAAAATCATGTGAAATCAAACAAAATCCCATAAAACTCATCCAAATATCAACAATATCAAAGTAAAAATTCCCTGTTAATATGTATATAAATTTAGCTCATCAATTTCCAAAGGCAGGTGCAT